GTGTTTAAATGTTAGCACAGTTCTTCCATGGTGAGTGTGTGGTTTAGTTTGAACATAGTCACAGAATTTTGTAACTATCAACAGATGGACAGATTCATCACCCCTAAAAAAATTCCTATACCCATTAGCAGTCATTTCCCATTTCCTTCCAATGTTCCCAACTCTCTCTAGGCTACCTCAGATCTACTTTTTTTTTTTTTTTTTTGTCAGTCATGGGGCCTGAACTCTGGGCCTGGGCGCTGTCCCTCAGCTCTTCAGCTCAAGGCTAGCTAGGGCTCTACCACTTGAGCCACAGAGCCACTTGCAGATTTTTCTGCTTATGTGGTGCTGAGGAATCGAACCCAGGGCCTCATGCACGCAAGGCAAGCACTCTTACCACTAAGCCACCGTCCCAGCCCCCCTCAGATCTACTTTTTTGTCTCTTATTTTGCCTATTCAGGACATACATATCTTGTATCATTAGTACTTTATCCCTTATTTTGGCTAATTAATAGTCCATTGGTTAACCAATTGGACTCAGGGGCCTCTCTCTCAATAGGCTTGCTTCTTTTACTGGTGTTCTCAGCCTCCTGAGGAGCTAGGATTACAGGTGTGAACCACTGGAACTTGACTGTTTCTTTTTGTTGCTATGATGAAAAATCCTGATATAAATATCAGTGCCCCAAGTTTCTGTATGGACATATTTTCAATTCCTAAGAGCATATACCTAGAAACAGAGTTGCTGGCTCATAGGATAATTCCTTGTTTAATATTTTGTTGAGCTCTTAAGATTTCCCAAAATAGCTACATCCCCACTGACAGTATATTGCATCTTCAATTTCTCTCTATCTCTATCCCTTATCTTTTTGATTATAGACATCCTAGTGGATGGTGAAATGGAATCTCATTGTTTGATTTATATTTCCTTAGTGGTTAATACTGAACATCTTTTCATGTGTTTTATTATCTACATGTGCATCTTCTTGAAGAAATATCTTTTCTAATCCATTTTCAGTCAAACTGTTGAGTTTTTAGAATTCTTTCAATATGATAAGTCCCTTATCAGATGTGTAATTTTTAAATAAGTCCCTTATCAGATATGTGATTGTCCCATTCTCTAGGTTGTCTTTTCATTTCCTTGGTCATATCTTTTCAAGCACAGAATTTTTTTTAATTGATCAAGTTCAATATATCTATGTCATTTGATTTTATTTCCAAAAAATGAGAACTTTATAGGTTCACTAAAAAGCTAATGAAACATTTGTAAATAGATGTACTAAAGACAAGCTAGATTGATTTTTATCCCAGTTCTATTAGCACTTGCAATTAGCAGAACAGACCTCTGAGTAGAAGCTAGATGGTTACATATGTCTTAGTAGCAAGTATTTTACCCACATTTTTTATTAGAAGAAAAAAGTTCAGCATCTGACCTCTTGTCTTATTTTTAGAAAAATAACCTGTGGAGTGTGGTGAGGAGTATTACTTCTTGTTGGGAAAGCTTCTGAGAGACATTTGCCAAGCTCATGAAGTTATATGAAAGTGAAGAAATATAGTAAGGAACATTTGTGTCCTATTGATTTTGTAGCTTAAGTAATTTTTCATTACTAATGTAAGATTTAAGAAGTATAAGTAAAGATTCTGACTTGGCACTAGTCATTAGCATGTAATTGAACTAGTAAAAAAGATCAGTTAAAGCTCTGTTGATTACCACCTTATCTTTGAGAGGCAATTAAAGACCTCAATCATTGCCACAAGATTTGATTGTGCAGCCTTTATTGGACATTGATCTTTCAGCAAAGTGCAGTTACATTTTCCATTAATTTACAGTAACACACTTTAACTCTGATACCCTAGACTGTTGACCTAGGTGAGATGTAATGTGAAGTACTCGTTTAGGTTAAGGTGTTCTCAAACATCATTACCATCTCCGTGGTAAGTGCTGAGAAAAAGGTGATACTTGATCTACTGGATTTGGGATAAGGTTTCTATTATCTGCATTATCTTTTAGGTAAAGTGAAATCCAGATCCTGGCCCTTTGTCTCATCCTGCTCATTTAGACAGCATTCATCCTTTAATAGATGTAAATGATATTTCATGAAGAATTATAGATGCTCTGTGCTTCCAGTTTTGAGAGAAAATAAGTATTAATGACATGAAACTGAATGTAAGGTATGTACGGCTTTTAATAATTAAAAGGGTTTCAATTTAAGTGAAATCAACAATTAGCAAAAGATTAAATTCATAACAAATGTGTGATAAGAAATTTTTTTTTTCAATTTGGTATGTTAGGACTTAACACTGAGGAACTAGGGATTTTGTATCAGCAACCTTTCATAGTCTCAATTGTGTTACTGTCTTTACAGTGACTCCCAACTGAAAGGAGGAGCTAAGAACTTTGCCCAGAAGTCTTTCAATACTAATTGTAAGAAATAACCAGAAGATATGCAAGATTTTGTACTAAACAGCACTTTTTTTTTTGTCAGTTGTGGGCTTTGAACTCAGGGCCTAGGTGGGTACTGTCCCTAAGCTTTTGTGCTCAAGGACAGAGCTCTACCACTTTGAGCCACAGCTCCACTTCCAGTTTTCTGCTGGTTATTTGGAGAGAAGAGCCTCATGGCCTTTACTGCCAGGGCTGGCTTTGAACCATAATCCTCAGATCTCAGCCTCCTGAGAAGCTAGGATTACAGGCATGAGGCACCAGTGCCTAGCTCACATCTTCATTTTTAGAAGTTTTGCCTAGATTTTTCTGCCCATGCTAGCTCCAAACTGCGATCCTCACATCTCAGCCTACTGAGTAGCTAGGATTACAGGTGTGAGCTGCCAGCACCTGGCTTCACCTCAGGTTGAAAACTGTTTAACAACAGTGTCTTTTGTAAATATAAATAAAAGGGACAGAAAAATGTGGATTACAAAAATAAAGCTTTTATTGAAATAAGAGAAAGGTGTTTTGTTTTTCTCAGATTACAGGGGGGAAAAAAACCCAAGACACAAAGGAGTAATTAGGCCTAGGTCAAAAAGACAGCACAGACACTAAAAATAGAGTCGGTCTCTTGGCTTCCTGCATTTGTACTCTTTCAGGCTGAAATGCTGCTGTGTTATATGAAATCTAAAGCAATGATCATAACAAAAGGTTCACTACAGGACTTAATAAACCCAATGAATGGTATTTTTATTTTTGGACTGTGCTCTTAGCTATTGAGTTCCTCCTTCACCATGATCAACTAGAAGAGCAAGAGGTCTATTGATTTTCATGTAATACAAGAAAATATTACATTTGCTTAATTGTTACATGGTAAGCACATAAGACAAGAAATCAAGGTTCTATTTAATGCTGCAAGCAGCAGAGAATTACAGAGATCAATAGGGTAGTTTGTCAAAGATGTTCTCCAAGGAAACATACCTGTCACCATATGGACAAGAAGTCACACTAACTGTAGCTATTGAAAAACAGGTAAGCAGAGTCAGCAGTACAAATTATCAGAAATCAAACAGACTGATGTGAAAAGAGATACAACTCTACTGAAAAGCTGTATTTATAGTCTGGTAATTAAAAGCTATTTTATCAGTCTTGTGTTGGGACCAAACCTTTACAGCATGTATTGACAAGATCGGCAGAAATGAATGAGCAGTATTTGACTTCAAACTTATGAGCTATAGTTATTTAACTTTGTCCATTACAGAGGAAATCAGTTTTAGCCTTCCTTGCAAAATGCTAATAGTCAGTTTTATTATTAATGAAGCTTAATAGAACACTATCTTCTTTGTGTAAGCTATTCATTTAACTGGTGTCTAGTAGATTCTTCTGGACTAAATATATTGGCATAAGTACTTCTTTATTTAAAGTTGTTAAAATTGCTCTTAAGACAAGTGAACACTATACACATTAGAACAGTTCACTCTCAGCAGCACACTTAAAGTGACTACCTTTGAGGGGCCAGTTTGAAGTCCTTCATGATCTTGATGCTTTTCCTGCAAACACTTCTGCTCTTATTCTACTGACTTGCCAGGATGCTTCTAAACATTGACTAGATTGTTTTATGAGCAACTTCCTCAAAAATGGTTAATATTGCAGAGAATCAGCAACACCTTAGCATAAAATGATATACAATGTATGTTTGTAATTATGGGAGAGGTCATAAATCTTAAACACCCATTGGTTTAGAAATTAAATAGTTCTACTTAGTTCTCCCTAAATGACTCCCAATTTCTGAAATTTACCATTCATCTGAGTATTTTGTGACTATCCCCAAGGATAAATTTTTTTAATGACTTTGCTTTCAAAAAATGCAATTAACTTAATAAAATTCTAATGTAAAAAGCACTATCAGGTCTTTACAATTTTAGCCCAGTCTCCACTTCTACTTTGTCTGTGGACAGTTAACTGCTTTTATAAGCAGTTACCAAATATTTTTTTCTGAGTCTTTGTAGATCTCAATTTCCTCAAAGCTTTATTGGCATGCTATTTTAACTTTTAATAAGTCTTAATTTTATTCACCTTGCGGCACTTACACTAACCATAGTATTTCACTAAGCTATTCAATTCTTTAAGCAATGAAAACTTTCAGCATTTACCCAAACCTTTCCTCCAGATAAATGGCACAGGAACTTTCAAAGCAATTTCATGCAAAATCCTGACAGCCGAATGCTTTCGATTTCAGGTTGTAAAACAATTTCCATCAATTTTGGATTTGCCAACAATATTATCTGCAATATTTACCTTCATATCTTGCATTTTTTCCAGTGTCATTAAACACAAGATGTCCCCTTTTTGAGGCATCGATACACTCTTGAGAGCCAATTTAAATTGTTAATATACATAGCTGTAGGATCTATATATACCATAATCATTTTTTATCTGTTGACTAACCTAGTTCTAGGGAAACCAGTGTGCAGCTTCTTATGTTTGTAGTCCTGCTAGCTGAGAACAGAGTATGCAATATATAACAACTTGTGAAAACCTTCTCCTGAGGCTAATGATTCATCTTAAACAATCAGCCACCACAGAAAGAAAAAGGTGTTTGCAAAAGTTTTATTTTACAGGATCAAAAATAAATATTGCAAATATACACAAGAGAAAACCCACTGATAGTTATATTCTCCAGTGCACACTTTTAATACATGGCACCTTCGTCTTCTTTATTTAGAAAATAAATTGTTATTGGTCCATAACTGGTATGTACTGTCTCTGTGACTCTGGCAAATAACCAGGACCCAAGTCCATATAATAGAGTTGGAATACCTACAAAACAAATGAATATATTATTTGTAAACATCCATACTTATTTCTCATGCACCCATGTGTAGTAATCACAAATTACAGCTATAGAAATAAATATATGACTTGACTATGTAAGAGCTCAATTTCATCCTAGAGATTTTAGAACTATAGATAAATGCTGATATAAATTTTAATTCAAAGTGTTTTCCTAATTCATTATCTTCAAGTAATTATGAAGTAATTCTATATTCATTTCACAAATAAGCAAATGGAGAAGAATATTCATTAATTTAGCTGTAAATGTTCCTGATTATTTGCCTTGAGCTAAAATTAGTAGGTCAACTTTGCTGTCCTTTAAGTTAAATAGCAACACTGATGGCTAACATAATTTTTGTACAACTTAGAAACTGGGTCAAATAGCTGCCTTCAAACCTAAGGCAAAACCTAACTCTAAGGAAGATTTTAGTGTAATAGGCCAGAGAAAGAAACACTCTCATTAGCATTTGTACAACTGATGTGAAAACAATCTTATGTCAACCTCTCTGGAAAACATATATAGTAAGCTGACACATGGTTTTTCTTTGGAATATTGCTATTGATAAGATCTTGCTGCTTTATTTGAGATCAGTTGCTACTTCTCATACAGGAACTAAATATTCAATCCAGAGATAAAGATTAAGAATCCATATAGAGATGATACTATGATAGTCCCAAACTAACTTTTGCAATGCCTATCTTTTTTTAAAAGGCATTTATTTTAAATCAATGCCTATTAGCATACTTAAAATGTATAAAAACACAGACACATGAATCAATAACAAATACTGTACGCTCTGTGCAAGTATTAATGATATTGCTCCCATATGGGAAATGGGCAGAAAGAGAAATTGCAAAAGGATAGTGCACATTTGGAAAATCACTTTCTAATTAGTAGGGAAATCAACACATGTTTAGGATTGATCAGAGGCTGATTTTTTCTCATTTTTCTACATGAACATATTGGCTTGTGTTGTGCTGTTTTTAACTGTGTGTGCTGTACTTGACTATACTTTGTTTATTCCCCTTGAAACTGAAATATGGCCATTGTAATATTAGAGATTAATAGGTGAGATAACACTAGCTAGCAATAAGAAGGGGAAAATATGCCTGTTTAGGCTGTACTTTTTTATTTTTGGAATTATACTAGGTCATCGTCATTATTACAGAATTCCTTACAACCCTTATGAAATGTTCTACAGTGTATTGCCCTCTGTTCCCCTGTTAAGATTCCCAAATTCTCCAAAGAGTCTCAAATGTCTGTATCACACCCACATACACACACACACACACACACACACATACACACACCCCACACACACCTATACCCCTCCAAAATTGAGACTAAGAAAGCTATTTAATAAATCATTCATCCAAAGCAAATGGACAAGACAAAACCACAGGCAGAAGTTAGTAGCAAGAATGGGAAGCATTTGAAAAAAATCCAAAATATGGGATTTCAACTTGGAACTCAATGGGGCAAGGAAGCAAACAAGGCCTTAAAAGCAATGATTAATTTCCTAAATGCCCTGAAAATAAAATATATGTCTCTTAAACCAATGCTAATGGTATAAATTAAAGAAATGATACTGACACTGAGAATTTTTATAGTATTTATCAGTTTACAATTTAAATGTTGATGCTTTTTTAAAAATCAGGCTTTTGAAAAATACAAATAGATGGCCTATGTAGGCTATTTTTTTCAGCTAAAATAAAGAACTGATTTAAGATTAATAGCTACTCTATTTCTTAGCTACTCTATTTTAAGAAACAACAAGGAACCAACATCAGTTACGCTATCTGACAAGGGAGGTTGTGATAAGGAAGTCAGAAGTCTACATTTATGACTTTTTCTGTCATCTGTTTCTGTCATCTGTCAGATTAATACACTGAATGGGAAGCTCTGCCACCTCTATAATGTACACATAAACAAATTTCCTTTGTGTTTAGCACAGGACACTTCAAAATAAGAATCCATGAAAAGTTAATTTTTTCCACGTTAACTGAAACATAAAACATCAAAATGAACTTGGAAATCAGTTCTTTGCATAATAATTCATTTTGAGTCAGCTGAACAGTAGGTAAACCACTGTCAAATTAAGCACTTAAAAAAATTAGAACTTCATAGCAAGTATCTGATTACCCATTCATTCCAATGGTAAGTTGCTTTTCTTAAATCTCAATCTATTTCCCAGCAGGATACTCAGACTGATAAAGCATCAGTAAAACGTCAGCTACAGAGGCTAATGCAAAGGAGAAAGGGAACAAATGGGTAAAAATATCTTGATTATTTACAAAACAGAAAAATGAATTACTCTGATAATTACTAATTTGGAAGGAAAGAGGAATAAAAAATCCTTAGCATTTTTGTTAATAGATTGATGATCCACAGGAGCAAATTATATATCACAAACTAGGAAAAGATTTTATATCTAATTCACATTCTCTTCCTTCAGACAAAAATTTTAAGAAAAATAAAGTGTTAACAAATTTCAGAAAGTCTGGAAAAAATATCCCCATTATTAGTGGAAGCCAACTTGTATTACAGCATACATTAGCAAAAAGTTTTCCTTTGTGCTTCACTTAAAATTCTTATTCCCATTTAACCTGGATTCTTAGAATTTCAAAAGATCACACAGACTATTCATTCTTCCATATAAAAAAATTCCACTATTGTTTCTTTTCTCAAAAGGCTTTACTTTTCTATGTGGGATATGTTGTGAGTATATTACTTAAAAAAAAAGTCCTAGTATTTAGGTCTAAAAGATAAACCCTTAGATACTAAGGTGATCTTAAAACCTTATTCTTTAATTGTGCCTTTTTTGTAAAAGGCACTGAGCTCTGATAGTCTATTTTTTTTCAACAAGGCAAAATTTACTTCTGTGTAGAAAGGTGCACCATTGGCCAGCAAGTGCTCGTATATTCTATTTTAAGCCTCAACCTTTAAATTGAGACTTTCTGGTAAAAGGCACTGAGCTTTTCCTAACCTCTTATATTTAGGAAAGTGATATCTTCTGATTCTGAAAATGCTAAAAATAAACATTCTTCTTGAGTCGCAGTGCTCCAGTCTTTCCAAATACTTCTGAGTTGAATTTTCTAAATCATCTCATAATTCACCTTGATAGTAACCTCAAAATAGATGGGGCATACTAAAAAGCCAAAAAGTAAGAAGTATTTTTAAAAGTCTTTATATGTCACTTCAATAATCTTCCTTCTACTCGATTGAGTCCAGGATAATCCCAGTGGAGCAAGGCTCAAAAATCCCATGCCTGTCATGTGAATTATTATAAATAGAAATATACAAGTCATATTTAAATTTAATGAGCTATCAGATTTTATCATTTTAGTGAGCACCACTGTTTTTTTTTTTAATAAAACAAGTTAGAACAGCATCCATGTCTGGATTTTGAATTATTGAAAACTTAATTTTCCTATCAGCTATTAATAGGTCCAAAATATCTTGGGATTTTATCTTTTCCTCTGATCTAAAAAAAGTCTTGTCCAAATATTGCCTCTTCTATCACTGAACCAGAAGAAAATTAACACCCTGGGAAAGTTAATATTCAAAATCTGCAGCAAAACATACAAATATTAAAGAGTCAGAGCCTTTCAAATGACTTTTAGGCCAAGTATTCTGAGAAAACTCTAGTATGTCTGATGACCTTCAGTGTTTTTGGCAAAGAAAAACACCAAGAACTTCCTGACATTTCATCTGAAGAAGACAAAGAGTCGACTTATAAAAGAGGTGACAGTGATCATGATGCATTGTACTTATAAACGGATTATTCCTTTGTACAACTAAAGATTACATATATGTATGTATGTATACACACACACACACACATATATATACATACATACATACATATGTATAAAAGTCGCCTCAATTGTAGCCAGGTACCAGTGACTCACGCCTTGTAATTCTAGCTACTAAGGAAGCTGAGATCTGAGGATCCTGGTTGGAAGTCAGCCAGGGTAGGAAGGTCCATGAGACTCTTACCTACAATTAACCAGCAAAAAGCCGGAAGGTGGAGTGTGGCTCAAGTGGTAGAGCGCCAGCTTTGAGTGAAAAAGCTCAGGGACAGAGCCAGGCCCTGAGTTCAAGTCCAGTACTGGCACACGCACACACACACACACACACACACACACACACAGGCCCTGAGTTCAAGTCCAGTACTGGCACACACACACACACACACACACACACACACACACACACACACGATGAATGTACTGTGACCTTTCTGGGGATGAATCCTGCTAAGCAAGCAGAAGCTTCGGGTGCCCACGCAGGGACAAGCCACCCGGTGCAGCCCAGATCGGAAGTAGAGTGAACCCCGGGGACCCTAAGGCCAGCGGGGGGGGGGGCTCCGCATGAGCGGGGCTGGGCCCTGGGTCAAAGGCCAGCGGGGGCCTCCCCGCGGGCGGGGCCGGGCCTCGGGGCTCGAACCGTTGTCCCCGGGTGTGGGCCTGGGATCGCCCGGCACCACTCACCGAGGTTGACGACCTTGAGCGCCGTGAAGAAGCGGTCCTGCGGGGCCAAGTCCTGCCAGGGGGCCTTGGAGCAGTGGTACTTGATGAAGGGGAAGCAGCCGGTCCGCAGGACGTGGTAGTTGG